CAAAGCATTTTGGGGATGTTTTGGATGCCGTTGGGCGGGAGTTTGACCTTTCGATTTATGTGGATTTGGATTGCGGTACTAAGGGTCCCTGGTTCGAATTCGAGTTCGAGCCTGGATATTTGTATATGTATAGAGGATGGGGTTCGTAGAGCAGCCTTGGCTGAAACCCCGCCTTTGTTAAATTGAATTTAGGCTAGTAACAAATAAAAACGCGAAATTTTGGCTATTTTGTAAATGGGTAGGTACGACATTGTAAAATAATAAAATTGCAAAACTTTCTTTGTGTACAATTTCTTTATTTGTAAAATTTATATTTTATGACATGTTTGTTAAACGTAAATGGATTTGGATAAAAAGATAATTTATAACATTTTGTTTACGTGATAAGGCAAGGGTGTTTAATGTATGAATACTTGCGTCTATGAAAAAAGTGGAAATGGTCCACGGTAACGCTTGTAGTGTTAGAAGAAAAGAAGAGTGCTTTTTGTTGGATTGGACGCTCGGTGACGGTTTTGAAGTGTAGGTACGTCGTCAACGTTTTGTGAAGTTGGTAAAGTGTGTGAATTACACCGGTATCCAGTTGCGTCAGTCAAATTCTCGCAATACAGTTTGTAGTCGACCTACACCGTTTTCAAATTAACAAATGTGCTGAAGATTATCCTCATAACCAGCTAGTAAGAAGGTAGTATCTGAATTCAACGGTAAAAAGTCCGCATGCCTCGAAGACCGTACAAGTGTGTTAAAAGTAACATTTTTTTTTTCATTTGGCATCTGTGGTGTTTCATGAACAGTAAATTTGTTTTGGGTAGATTTAATGTAGTTAGTCTTTGAGATTTAATTTTAGATTTAAGGTGTGTGTATTTTTTACCTCGTCATGTGTGTTTACGGCCCCGTAAATTTAGAGTTTTATGTAATTTTCGGCAAGCCGAGGGTGATTTAAAAATTGTTTGTGAAAATAGGTTAAATTACATTTTGTTTGCAAATCCTATTTTTGGTGTTCTTTTTAAATCATTTTCAGTGCCGAATAGTGGGGCGAGAATGTTAGTGCTGAAGTTCCGGGTGACAATTTCATTATTTTGTACCGGGTGAGTTACATAGCAATACCTAAACGTTAAAAGCCGAAGTTTTGTTTTGTTGGGTTACCGTTTGTGTTGCAACAAACGGAATTTTTTTATTAGTTGCACAGTGGAAGGCGGGTGCATGTTCCATAACCATTTTATGTGTAATTAGAATGGCACCTGAACAATTTGCTTTCGTGTAATTCGCTCTCAGATAATTCGCATCGGAACAATTTACACGAAGACAATTCGCACATAGGCCTCTCTCTCCCCTGACATTTCGATGGCGTTCCACCGGCATATTTATCAGAAGGAACGTCGGGTTCCAAATTCAGAACCCGATATTTGGATCTTAGAGAAGGAAAGATAGAGGAGGGATAAAAGATGATCGTAATGTGAAGCAAATTTTAGAAAACTCAGCAGCCTTGACCAACTCCACAATTCCAAAAAATTATATTAGAAATATTTATATAAACAACTGACACAACCCTGGGTACCAACAAAGAAATGTGATATGACAACTTTTATCTAGATCGTAATTTGGGCTTGCTTAAACACAACATAAATTTATTAGACAAAACTCAGGCCCAGAATACACATACCACGCAACAAGCTACCGATTGAAACAATTAATTAAAGAAACCTTAACTACCTTAAAATGTTAAATAATCTAAATAAACTGATACACAAGCACACAAACACTAAATGATGATATTGCATCGAAACTTCTCTTTTTTCTCGATTTAAATGACACAAGGTTCATTGTAATTACTGATGTAAAGTTGGCTCCTTGATGGTAGAAAAAAGTTCCCTTTAACAGATACCTTGGATAGTCTTGGAGAAACGCTTCACAATAGCAAAAAAGTTCAAACGAGAACACTCCGACTTTTTTCGTAAATTTCACTTCTTTAATTGGACATAAACAATCAGTTTAAACAGAGTAATAAAAAAAATCTCTCCCACTTTCTTCTACAAAAACAACAACAAAATGTGCTCCCGCTGACTGCGATACACGGATACACCAAAAGCATCTACCACTAACAAACTACACGTCTAACACCATAAACACGCCGATTAACCTCTTCCTCTGCTGTTTAAAACCGTTTCCCTTTCTTTTAAACTGTCCAAACCATCTCCTTCTTCCTTCATTTTCTGCGCGTCGTCGAGTAAATTAAACACCTGTGTTTTCTTATTATCGAAACCCACGTATTTACAAACTTAACCTCACGTAGCGATAAGGCTCTTATCGCAATCACCGGAGATGACGTAAAAAGTATCACTTTCAAAACTAGTTGTATAAAAATTATTACACTTCAGTTGTCAATTTTCCGTTTTTTAACTTGCTCTTCGAATTTTTGTGCGTTTTCTTTTTAGGAATTGTTTTGTTTTTCCAAACAGTTTTTGTTGTTTTTGTTCTTACGTGCTTGTTTTATAGTGACTTAGTTTTCATTTTTGTTTCCATGCGAACTTATCAACGGCCCTGCGTTCATGCTAGAAAGAGGAAACCACAGCCAACTACTACTATATCAATATTATCTATTCCTAGTTTTATGTAATCCGTTTCCCTTAGATGTATGCCTGCATTGGCTGCATTCCCAAATCGTTAGCCGGCAGACGAGATATTGATAATTAGTACTTACATATGCATTCGAAATATTGACCGCAGCAGTGTACATCTCATCCAAGCTTTTCATTTTCATTGCGTGAGTACCCCCTTGTGGCACGGTTCCAGAAGTATATCACAGAATAACCGATCTCGAGACCGTGGAATGGGATGGGAGTGAATAGAATGCAATTCCCATGGGTGTTATTTATTTGCAGCTAATTATAAATGAATATGCACAGTGCACAGTCCAAGATAAAAATGTCTGTCTATCATGGGGATCTCAGAAACTATAGATAGATGTTACGACGATGGACCAATTAGAGAAAAATTGCATAATTAAAGGGTTACTATCATGCTGTAAAAAAAACCGCAACATTCCGATTACTTTCGAAGATATGCCAGACAAACCAAAATTTGTCGATTTCATTTTTATTTTTTTTTATAGGTAATCTTGCATGATTAGGGCGTTGTGCGTGGATGCACCATTCTGTTGAAATCACCAGATAATCCATTTTTTATTGCAAATACGATGTAGGGCACAAAAAAATCATGGAAACTCTGGTGATTTCAACAGGATGGTGCACCCGCGCACACCGACACAGTGTATAGCAATCTTGCACACAAATTTATAACATGTAAATTTATCACGTAGGTACAAGCGCGAACATTAATGATCACTTCCCCATCGATGTTGGAACAATTTTCTTATATTGAAAACGGAATGTTTGTAAAAAAAACACGGAACGTTCTCGAAGAGTCTAAAAGGCGTATGATATTTTAAGAATGATTGCGCCGCATCCCCTTTCATTACTTATCCCCAGTGATAAATCGTTTATCGACTTGATGACGCATGCTGGCACACCGATGTCTAGCATACTCCCAACAATCCCTAATCGTTATCAATCTCGAAAAAGGCAGTACTCAATCCACCTATCAGAAACCTTTATCGATCAATAACTCTTTAATTTAGTGTATTTTCTTTTTGTTTACTTCTTTAGATCACTATATGTATTCAGTTATTCACTATCACTTTAAACATAAACGCGACATTATTTACAACGGCCTAAAGCGCACAATCACCGCCTAATTTTTGCAGAAAAAAATCATAACACGCCCACGTCTTCGTGAAGTTGGTCAGAGTAATCTAATATAGAAAATGTTTTATTCTTCACAAAGGCGCCAAATTTCATGTTTATAATGGAAAAAGACAAAAATCGGCTATTAGAGAGGCCCTTTTCAGTTTTCTAAAAATATCAAAAAAATCTTCAAAAAACATTTATGAGGTTAGAAATCGTCTACTAAATTTTACAAAATTGGAAAGAGTTTTATAAAACCGTCATTTCTTTCCTTATAAGTGTAGTAGAAAAAAGAAGCCCAAATGCCGAAATTTTTGTATGCCGACCTGCGTAGCTCAGATGAGCTTACGTTAGAAGCTCTAACTTTGGCTACAATGGTCCTGGGTTCGAATCCCAGGTAAGGCATGGCTGTTTATGATTGTATAGTGGGTTGAGTGGGAAGAGTAGCAAATTGCTAACACTCCGCCCACTATAAAATAAAGGCAATAAAAAAAAAAAAAAAGAATCTCAAACGGTACATGCTGTTGGTTGATTTGAAGAGAATGTTTGGTGGCACTGACCAGTTCGCACCTGGTGGCAAGTATGAATAGCGAGCAGAATTAGGATACACGCGCGTCAATTAGTTTCGAAAATTGTCACTTTAGCAAACGGGCTATTTACCGAATTTGTAAAGGAGGTTTCAGTGCGTAAAATCCCCGAAGGAAAATTTTGGTCAATCTCTAAGCCACATTATGACGAGTAGGTATTATTTAAATTATTGCAAATAAGTTTCGACCCTTACAATAAAAAATGTATTAGTTGATCCAAGCCAGCACTGTTCATCTGCATTTTCACCTTGAATTACACCCAATTGCGTGATCATCGGGCACATTGTCATTTATTCTACATGCACTTCGCGGTTGAGCTAACAATGAATGACTAACCATTCAAAACTGCGATTGAATAGCAGCATTTTACTACAACAATTGGTTAAATTTTAATCTCACTTGATGACGGAAGCTGAGTTTCCACTCACCAAGTATGTCATTTTGAAAATAGAGTCTATTTTTAAGACGCACTCCCCCAATAATTAGTTAACGTATTTCTTAAAATGCGCCCGGCGACTTTTGCCAACTTCGACTTTACGCAAAAAGATTATTTTTGGTTATAGCTGCATATGCAAATTGCAATTCCGAAATTTAGAATTCCCAGATTTGACTCGCCAACAGTGTTCGCATTAATCATCTCTTTGAAAATAAATTAAAATAGACAATTACTTACATGCGTTGTTCGAAACTCGATCAATTTCTTCCATACTTGTCTGCTTTAACACACAATCTACTATCCATCTTCATATTACAAATAAAAGTATCACACACCCCTGAATCGATATTTAATTCTTTTTCCAACGTTTACCAACACGCGTGAATCGATTCTGACTTAATTTTCAGTTTTAGTTCCTTTCGAGCGGACTAGTTTAAATCGAATCTATTTTCGACGGCCCTATTTTTAAAAATAAAATTACGTTACCTTGCTAAATGTAAGTGGCGATGATGCGCAAATGTTGCGACTTTATTTTTAGGCGTTTTTGATCTATACCTACAGCAGTAGAATTTGAAAGTTTCAAATTTTTAGATTGTCCTAGCAGGTAGCGTATGATTTTGCTTTGAATTGAACCTTTGTGTCTTAAAAAATGACGCGGGCTGTTGTTTTCGAAAGATTGATCTCTAGCCAAATCTGAAAAGTACGTGAAAAAACGATAACTATGATGATGATTTAAAAACTAGTTGCAAGTAACGTGGAGGTCTAGGATGTACCTATTCATAGTGATGTAACTTTAGTGTTTAGAACAAACGTTACGCGAATTCATTTAGATTGCTTCATTTAAACAAGAGAAAGCAATAAGACTTAGTAATTAAAACCATAAGTCTGAAACATTATTGATATCGCGCTCGAGATAGTAATAAAATTATAGTAAAGGTTCACAATAAAGATTAAATTACGCAGGTCATGGTCCAGCTGCAATGATATCGGAACATGTTCTGAAAAGTGTCATTTGGGCGCAAAGGTAGTCAATACATACGTAATACCCAGTACACGCCACTGCATAAATGTATGCGTGAAGGTAATCAGTACACGATAGCCAGTACATCAGAACTCTGTAGTCTGTAGTACCGTTTGAGATGTACTGGCGGGTGGTATTTGGAAGCTAGCCTACTGATATACTCACTGGATATCGATAACCATTACATTAACAGTAGTACTATTAGTAGGTACTTTTTGGGTACTGAATATATAGGTGCACAATCACTGGCTACTGCCCAAATGCTGCTATCCAGTACACGAGAAAATGATAACCAGGATATAAACAAATAGCAGTACCATTTAGTACTGCCATAGACAACATATACTAGTATTATGTTGTCTGTGGTACTGCTTAAGGATTGTACCGGGTGACCCAATAACTCTGTTCCTCGGCCATAACTCGGGAACCGTTTGTCGTATGACTTAGGGGTAAAAAATTATTGGATAAATCGGTTATGAAGAATCGCTGGGAAATATTTTCAAGTTCTAAAAATGACCACCAGAGGGCGTAACTGCATCTTAAATTTTAAAATTGCATTTTCTTCAAATTTCGCCTAATAAACAGTCTTTTTCCACATTTTTAAAGATAACCAGTTTATCTATCATTTTCATAAAAACAAAAACTCAGTTATTTCAAAAACAAAGATGGCGTAGGACGTTCAATTGTTTTTGCAATAACCTGCTTTAAATTCTTAACCGTTTGACCGATTGTAACAAATTTGGTATCGTTGAAAAGAGCAACAAAAATCAACCAAAATATAGTTAATTTAGTTGAATCCTTCTCCGCCAGGGGGTTCGCTTTGACAATATGATCCAAAATTCTAAAAAAATCAAATGGAATGATATGACTTTTTAAAATGTGTTGCTATCGAGTCACCTTTGGAACTTTTGTTTACATGGGAAATCGTATTTAACTTGAACTTCCAAAGGCGACTCGACAGCAACTCATTTTTGATCGCCCGTTATTTGTAAATTATTCTGCTGTGTTTACATTCAGAAAGTGCAGTTTTTTGAATTTGTAGGTAATCTTTTCTAGAATGCCGATTTCTAATCAAGAAGCATTTAATATGCTGGCGCCGCTGGCGGCGATGGTTCGTGGTCGATTCCGATAACGCAAATAGAAGATGTAGGCAGCGATGGTCGAATTTTGAAAATACTCAAAATATATCGCCAGAATATTAAATGCTTTTTGGTTAAAACGGCATTTTAGAAAAAATTACAAATTCAAAAAACAGCATTTTCTGAAAGCAGCAGAATAATTTACAAATTAGGCTGTTATTATATTTTTATAATGCATCGTGTTTGGTTTGTTTAATTTTCCAAGGCCTACCTAAAAGTGTTGGGTGCTTTTCTTTAGCGCCATCGAAAAATACCGGAAATACGTAAAAAGTAAATTTAATATACAATTTAAGCATTTTTATTAATTAATTAATTAATCTCATTTTCCCAATATTTGAGGTTAGGAACGAAATTTTGAAAAACGGTTTTCACTGGCCTCTTTGGATGTTATTTGGCTACTTTTTCATAAAGAAAGGGTCATATCATTCCATTTGATTTTTTTGATTTTTTAGGATTTTGGGTCATAGTGTCAAAACTAGCCCCCTGGCGAAGAAGGATTCAACTAAATTAACTATATTTTGGTTAATTCTCATTGCCCAAGGAATGCTCTTTTCAACCATACCAAATTTGTTAAAATCGGTCAAATGGTTAAGAAGTTAAAGCAGGTTATTGCAAAAACAATTGAACGCCCCACACCATCTTTGTTTTTGAAATAACTGAGTTTCTGTTTTTATGAAAATGATAGATAAACTGGTTCTTTTTAAAAATATGAAAAAAAAATTAGTTTATTATGCGAAATTTAAAGAAAATGCAATTTTAAAATTTAAGATTGCAGTTACGCCCTTTGTTGGTCATTTTTAGAACTTGAAAATAATTTCCAGCGATTCTTCATGACCGATTTACCCAATAATTTTTTTACCCCTAAGTCATATGACGAATGGTTCTCGAGATATGGCCGAGAAACAGTCTTATTGGGTCACCCGGTACATATAGTTTTCTGATACCTTGAGGATTACACTAGTGCTGGCTACCTTCTAAATTTCGCTAACCAGTACAGGGGATATTGATATCCGGCACATGAATAAGTCTCATACGCTTTCGTACTCCCTAAGTAGTAAATACAGATCCAATCAAGTAGTTGTGCGACAGCTTTGATTCTTTGAAGATATATTAAAAATATACAGGACGTGCCAACAAAAATAAAATTCGACCCTCCTTATCCGGAAAAGCTAGCATTTCCAAAACATCTCATATTTGTTTTTGAGAGAAAAGAAATCTATATTATACAGGGTCCTGCAACAGTGCATTGGTCTTTCCTAGCTCATACCTCGTAAAAAATATAAAAAACCGTGTGTGCAAATGTCAATTATACACCGTTGCGCATTTATAGACATTATTTTTGTATGTACAGGGTGTCCAATTTTTACGGTGTCAATAAATAACTTTTTTGTTAAATAGAACAACCTGTATATTTGTGCTATATGTCAACCTCTACATTGAACGCTATTAACTTTTTGATTTTTTTGTCAATATTGCCATCTTATTAATTTTTTTCAGAATAATACCCCATGCGCAAGCCCTACTTTGGGCCGAGGCAATGTCCAAACACCGTAGTTTTTAGGTTATTCCATATTTTTCACGAAACTACCTACCTATTCATTAATTAGTTACGGTCCTTGTGAACTCCCTGTGTCTTTAAATCTCATTTTCTCATAATCAAAATGTAGGCATTTACTCGGATAAAATTTATTTCTCAAAAGTATTTCCTAACTTCAAAAAACAAGGTCGCTACGATTTATCAAAGTGGGGCTTGCTTATAGGAAATTATTCGAAAAGAATTAATAAGATGGAAACAAAAAATCATAAAGTGAATAGCGTTCACTGTAGAGGTTAAAAATTACATCGAAATATGTAAAAATATACAGGGTGTTCTATTTGACAAAAGCTATTTTTTGACACCGTAAAAATCGGACACCTTGTACATTCAAAAATAATTTGCATAGATGCGCAACCATCAGTTGACATTTGCACACGCGGTTTTTTATATTTTTACGAGCTCAATGAGCTAGCAAACACCCACGCTCTGTTGCAAGCCCATGTATGTAAAACTCTTCCATTACTAACAAACAACGCACAGCTAGGCGTAGAAAGCTAAAATTTGGCATGCAGGTTTCTTGGAGAGACTAAGAGAGGATTTCCCAAAATTGCTATGGGAACGGGAAAAAACGGGATTTTACTTTTTACAGTGGAAACAGCGGAAGATAGAGACTTGACATTTATAACGTAGGTTCCTTTGAAGTTGTTAAGGTTGTAACGAGAGCATTTTCATTTGAAATTTTTTTTCCCGCTTAATTACGCGGGAAATGTTGTAAAAAAGGTGAAGGTCCTGAAAACATTCTCCCAAACAAATATTGTTCATGGTTGTTTCAAGTTTTTATTTTGACGATTGTAATTGTTTTCTTCAACATACACTTATCTGACCTTTTTGTGTTGTTATTTTACTGGTAGTGGAAAGGAGATCGAAAATGTTGTAACCAATTTTCAGGATTATGAAAGGAAAATCTATTATAGTAGGGGAGCTAGCACGAAATCCACTGAACGAGAATGATCAAAATTTTAACCGATGGAGTTCCATTTTGCCCTATCAAAGTATGCTAAAATCGATCGTCTGCCGCCTCAGGTCATACGACTTAAGGCGCTGCGGGTACTTCTTGTGCTACCAATTCTGAAAGATTGTTTTTCGAGAAAATAAGTTATACACCAAATGAAAACGTTGATAATAGCTCTTAAAAAAATATTTAAAAAAATCGCGCGCATTTGATAACTCCGTAAAAAAACAATTCTTAGTCGGTTTTTCACGAACTTTCTACGGATATAACTAGGTTACCGTTGGAAGAATGAAGCTGATTTTTTCTACAGACTAATGATAGGTACAGCCAATGACTATGAGAGTGTTTCTTTTTTAAATTTTTTCTCTAATTATAAGATATCTTATAATGTTAAGATAATATCTAAGATAATCTTGTAATTAGAGAAAAAATTTAAAAACGAAATACCGTTAAGTCATTAGTAGTACCTATCATTAGTCTGTAAAAAAAATCAGCTTCATTCTTCCAACGGTAACCTAGTTATATCCGTAGAAAGTTCGTGGAAAACCGACTAAGAATTGTTTTTTTACGGAGTTATCAAATGCGCGCGATTTTTTTAAATATTTTTTTAAGAGCTATTATCAACGTTTTCATTTGGTGTATAACTTATTTTCTCGAAAAACAACCTTTCAGAATTGGTAGCACAAGAAGTACCCGCAGCGCCTTAAGTCGTATGACCTGAGGCGGCAGACGATCGATTTTAGCATACTCTGATAGGGCAAAATGGAACACCATCGGTTACAATTTTGATCATTCTCGTTCAGTGGATTTCGTGTTAGCTCCCCTACTATTAGGTACGTAAGCAAAAATTCATAAGGGAGGTAAAGTTTTGGTCAAAATTACTTTCCGACTACATACAAAGTATGTATAAAGGAAAGTATTGTAATCGTGATACATTTTCGATGTACCAATATTGGGTTTTCTGGACGTTTTGAAGCACACAGACTCCAAAAAAGTGATTTTTAGATTGACGTCTGTGTGTGTGTGAGGGTGGGTGTATGTATGTGGTTCGTTTTTTGTGACCACGATAACTAAAAAACCCCTGAACAGATTTGGACGAAATTTGGGGTGCATATAGGGTCGTAGGGAATCGAAAACGTCCTATTTTGGTTTTAATCCGGAACCATCTTCATGGTTGTTGAGAATATTTAAAAGTTTAAAAGAGCTATAACGGCTTGAAAAAATTTTTTTACATACACTGTCCAAAATGGTTTAAAAACCTGTACAAAAAAGTTCATTGCAATTTTTTTGTGAGTTCCTTTGTTTTTGAGAAGTTTTGAATTGAAAAGTTAAAATAGTTATTTTATTTTTGTAAATTTGCATTTTTCTCTAAAAGTAAGCATCAGAGTGAAAAATGTTAATTATAAGAAAGATGTGTCTTGATGGGATCTACAAAAAAGGGTTCACACTTTTTGCGCCTGGTGCAAAATAAAAGCGCTAGATGACATTTTCTAAATGTTATACTATGACCAAAGATAATTGCAATGACTTTATTAAAAGTAGTCGGAAAGTCAGGAGTTTACCTGACAACTAGTTTGTAATACAGTGTTGTTGTTGAAATTTCTACCTTCATTAAAAACAAAGCCTCAACCCTATTTGCAACTGACTTTTCAGACTGCTGCATCGGGAACGGGAAAAAAGTGAATTAAGACAGTGTCTGCGAGTATGAAGTCGCGGGCAAAAGCTAGTATCATATAAAATACACTTCGGAACTCCACCCTCCCCCCCCCCCCCCAATAATTTTAACTGGCATGTTGGGTGTCACATCAAATTAAAGGCAATTCTCCCTGTGTTGTTATGAACTCAATCGTAGTAATTAAATATTTTTTCTAGCTATATTTTTCAGTTTGATCGGTGCAATCTTTACGCAGCTGGACCCTGTATGCAAGGTGGGCCCCTCTGTCAGCCCCTGTTTCACAGCTTTTAATTTTCACTTAAGTTTTTCTTATTCGGTGTGTTCAGGATAAGATTGGCCGGCATAAGGAAATCGAAAACCATATGAAATGCACAGTCGATTAAATTGCGTATTTTAGGGCATAGTAAAATGACGTTTTAAAAATTCCGAAATTCAGATCAGTTCCCAAGATATTCGAAAAAAAACGAAATTAGCCTTTCTATCCGAGGTCTTATAGCTACTTCCACAGTTTTGAAGATATTTAGTTCGTTCTTTTTGCACTCTATAGCGTATATGTAGATCTGGTACCTAAGCCAAGGAGAATCTTATTTATTTATTTATCATCCCTCTCTGTTTTGTTTATTCGGAGTAGCCGGCAGAATGCTCGAAACTGGTCTACGGTAATTCCCATCTCTGCCACAGATGAAAAATTCACCTCAACCCAGGTTCGAACATCCGACCTCCGGATTTATAGCCCAATGTTCTACCACTGAACTATAAAGCCAGGTTAAATCTTGGCGATTAATCTGCGCATGCGCAAGCTGCGCAATGTCAACTTTCTTATTTATTAATATATTATTTTGTTGAAATTTTAACCATGGATACTTGTGGTAAACATTGTATTTCCTCTATGGTAAAGGCAAAGATATCGCATATAGTAAAAATCATGTCGCTAACTATCACCATTGAATAATCAACACCCAGATCCAGGGAAGTTCACTTTCACAAAAAAGATTATCTGTACAGTATTTGGACGATCTGTGGTCACTGTTCCATAACGCGTATTTGTGCGGGTTCTAGCTTGCGCAAGTAAATCGCTACGTGTGTGGCAATCTTTGTATTGCCATTGAATAGTTTGCACCTCTTGAGACACCGTGAAAATGAAAACATAAACTCGAAATATTGCGAATATTATACTCGTTTTGCCATCTGCTGCCAATAATAGTAACGTAAAGGACAAATTGGGAGCAGGGAATCTTTATGATCGAAAACCATAAATTACAAATGTTGCTCGAGATGGCGGTAGTATTAACATTCCGAGTTCCGATCATGTAGTAAAAAGGTAATGTTAAAATGCCGTCCGTGTATGCATATCCCGCCAGACTGTAAAATTAGTGAACGAAGTGAATGTCAAGTAAAAAAATCCCATGTGCACATTATGATTCAGCGCATGTCTCCCGTTTCTCAGCCAATAGTAAAAAATCAATATCACCTTCAGGTGCGTCACACTCATGAGATAAGTTCAGATATAATTATTTTAAAATTAAACCTTGCACAATTTTTACAAATGAGTTCAGAATTGTCGTTGCGAATGGGAGAATAGTGCGCGCGCTTGCTTCCGTGTAACTCGCTGTTAAGTTAATTGAAGACCTGTGTAATTGCGGATACGCCACTGCGCTCCTGCAAAGTATTTCCTTTCCCTTTAATGAACAAAATCTAACGGAGTATGATCGTCACGCCTTCTGCCGATCAGTAGGCTGAGAAAATAACAAATTACGTTCTCTCCGTCATTTACGACGGTACGTAACATTAGTCTTGAGATTTTTTACCAATTTCTTTGACGTGCGAGTGCTGTTCGCTGATATGCTCTAAGATTACCAAGTGCGGAACTAAAACTAAATTTTAACTTGAAAAGTGAACGTGCCGAAACGAAATGGAATTCAAATTTGATGTGAGCGATATATTTCCATGCTCAATTGTCGAAATTAATCCCAGCCTCATTCCTCCCGGATTCGCTGGCGATAGAAGAGGATTAACGTAAGTGAAATTTAAATATTTATATTCACCCGCCACCGTTTTTGGGCGCGTTCCCATACGCTCAAACTATAAATTAAATTTGGCGCTAATGCAATTGCTTGTACTTAAATTTAACTTAATTGATGCAGAAGCCAAAGCGCGTTAATTACAATTTAAGGTAAATAAGTTGAGCGGAGGTCGTCACTGCCATCGGAAGGTTGAGGTCTGTCGTATTATAAACTACATGAATCATTTGATGATCCAATGAAAAGGCATCTTAATGACTCTCGACAAAACAAAAACAGTGTGGGAAAGTTATAGCTTACATCCGCATTTAGTGTAAATAATTAGATGCATTTGTGCTTACTGCAGCTAGTGAGAGGTCAACTAATGCTTTGCGTAATGTAAATATATGTCTTAGAAAACGATCGCGCGTTATGCCAGTGTAACCTTTCGACCTGCAACATTTTGATTCGTAATTCAAATCGAATTGTAACTTGACAGGTATCTTCTCAAGGTTGTAGGAGCTAACCTCTCTCAAAAATGAGATACACATACCTACTGACATACACCAAGACCACTATAAAGAATACCATTAGAAAAACCAGATTTTTATACGCAAACACTACTGTGAGACTATACCGAGGTATGGTTCACTGAGCAATGTTCTGCACAGGAATTGTATTCCCAACATAGAATATAAACATAAACGAATACAGTGTAACATAAATTTAATAATACGTGATTTATTTAAAGGTATATGTATATAAAATGAGTCATTATTTATCACTTTGGCGTCGATGTTAAGACTAAGACTAAACACAATGCAATTTGCTAATATGGCAAACAAAAAGCTTCTAGAAAATTTTAGACAGTTGGTGTATCATATTTCAACGCAAGAATGAATCGTATCCGCTTTTATTCTTTATCGCCGGTGACCCATCCTTTATCGACTTAATAACTTTCTAGCAGGTTCGTCACAGTAGAATACAGGGAAAATATGGGGAATGTCCCAAATTGGACACCTTTAGGGGGTTTATGGTCCTTGCGGACCGATTTCCAAATGCCAGGGGCAAATTTCAAGATAAATTAAATCTACGTTTTGGATAAAAGTACAGTATATTATTTCAAATTTTGCAAGAGATTAAAAAGAAAAATATTTCGCACGCAAAACGCTGTCCTTCATCAGTGGACCCAAATTAAAAAATTTAAGTTTTCATAATTGTCTAATGGTGAATTATTCTTAGTGGGTCCACTGATGAAGGACGGCGTTTTGTGTCCGAAATATTTGGTCTTCCGAATAAAAATACTGAACGAAGCTTGAATGTTTGGGCCAATTCACCCTACTAACCTTCATCAAATGTATACCATTTCGCTGATTACCTAGATTCAAATAGCGAGGTAGGTATTATCGAAGGTATTGTTCCGTTGCTAGGAGTAGAGAAGTAAACAAAATTTGCACTTCTCTGTCTCTTTTCCGCTTCTTTGCTTCTTTTATTTCATGTTTGTAAAACGAAAATCGTCGGGGGTAGTGCACTGTGCACAAACACCGTCTCAATCAGAGCTGTTACACGGAAGTTGATGCCAACTTTCTTATTTTAAAAAGAACACCCTGTATATTATTTTATTGTTAGATTCCACGTCAAATTCTATATACTTAGATACATTGTATGTATAGCTTCATTCGAGGCTTCATTATTATATTTATAATTTTATTTATCATTTTGATACCTATATTGAATCGCTTGTGACGTATTTAAATTTTTATATAAAAAATGAGGTTCAAAATGACTTTTTTCTACAACTGTCAAAAAACCTGTCATTTTCTGACGGATTTCGAAACGCGAAGTACTAGATTTTTAAACGGTTAATAATTAAGTAATGTTGCTATTGACAACGTGCGCGAAATCGTCAACAGTGAAAATAGTATATTGAATTTCTATTTCGGTGCTTTAATTAATTTAAAAAACCATTATCAGAAACTATAGGGAACATTAGAACTAACATGTTTTACGTTGGGAACACTTTTTATGCCGTTAAGTTTTAGGTTGGCAGCGTAGTAAGACTGACATTTTGAAGTTCAAACATGGAAGTACCCAACGAACTACCTACTTGTACTAACTAGTAACTGCCAACTTAAGAGATGAGTTACCAAAAAAAAACGACTATAATCACTGTCTTTGTACCACTGTTTTCGGCCGAAAACAGTTGTACAAAATCATCATTGTGACACCGAAATAGAAAAAAAATATTGTATATAGGTAATGCTAGCGCGAAGTTTTTTCGCGCGTTTGACTGAAATTTTGACTCGGCTTCGCCTCGTCAAAATACCTTCAGTCTCAATGCGCGAAATTGAACTTCGCGCTTATATAAATAACTACTGCGTGCCAAATCATAATTGCCAATTTTTTTTAAATAATAAGCTGTTATTATTTAATGGGGGCTGGTTTCCTTTTAGAAGAGGCGAATGTGTTGATATTTTCATTATAAATAAATACAGACTACAGGGGGTTCAGAAACTAAAATTAACAAATTGCAGAAGTACAAAAGTAAGCGATTTACAAAAAGAAAAAGCGTACTTTCACGTTAACAGTCTTTTTTCCGAACAAATTAGTTACCCTAACCCAATTCGTTTCAGCCATTTAATTAAAATCGAGATCAAAATGATGAAATTATATTTTGGATACGACCTGCTGTTAATTTCGGAAAAATCCGCCTGCAACTAAGAAATTTGATTTTGCGCATACACTTTCCATTTTTGATATGTGTTTTCCTCGGTGTTTTCAATTGCCTTTCCAAAAAATGTAAGCATACCATATTACTCTTGATATACCTACACTGTGTCCAAGATAAGAATGCATCTCGGAATGCATGGGAAACTTGGAAACCTACGATCTCGCCTAAGACCGAGCCTAAGACTTATAGTCGGTTAAATTAGAAAAAATTTCGTATTTTAGGGCTTGGAAAAATGAAATTCCGATCAGTTCCGAAGAAAAACGAAATTAACCATATTCTCGTTCTTATTTTTTCTGGTCCTATATGAAAAGATATCAAACACTTCCTTATAGGAACTTTTTAGGATCTACGAGATGGTGCCCACAGATTTTCACAGCGACGTTTCTTTTATGAGAAACCACCATCAACTTCATATTTTTGATAAGTACTTATAGGCCGAAAAATAACTATACAGCCTGAATCAAATTCGAGGGCCGCTGTGGGAATCTCGGGAACTGTAAGAGATAGGTAGGTAGTTTAAATTTGGCAAAGTTGCCTATTTTGACGCTTAACAAAATGCAGTTTTCAAACTGAAAAAATTCCGACTACTTTCGGAGATATCCGAAAAAAAAGAAATTTTGCAAAATCGTTTTTATTTTTTTCCGAAGTTTTAAAAAGATATTTCGTTAGAAGATGCTACTTTTAAATTTTAATTTTGACGTTTCGTCTCCAGTCAACCAACCTCAACTTTTTTTTATGGAAGTAATTTTTGCTTTTTGTCTCATTTGATAGCGAATTTTTTTTCTGATTTCAAAAATATAAACATCACTATCTTTTAATCAGAAGTGTTATTAATTCGTAAAAATGCAAGAAACTACGTACGTACACTACTCAAGACAACATTTTCTAGGCTTAAAACTCGGCTTAATAATTGAATTGAATTGAATTGAAGTTATTATTTCCTAATATCCTCAGTTCTTAGGTCCAACAGTCTAAGAGACTTAACTGTCGGTTCCTATGATTTTTAGCAAAAAAAAAGAATACAAGTAAATTCTTATTTTAATCAGTATGTAATCCTGACGCTTAAAGTTAAGTTTTTATCTTTAATTGGGTCTATGCTGTCGCACTACACATCTCATTAAAAGAAAAACTAAATAAATCAGATCGACAATTCCTAACTTAACATTATTCCAATACTACAAAATACAATAGCAAATTAGGTGTACTGCTCACTAAAATCATCATTCGTACTAAGTATTTAAATTATATGTAAAAATTTCAATGAATAATAATAATAATAATAATTTTTCTCTAAATACTTTCATTGACTACTTGACTACAAACTATAAACAAATGCATTTGATTTTTTTATGTATTAGTTCTCTTGAATGAAATTGGGCTACGTGCTTGTTGCCGAATATTATTGAGGAAGTTTTTTTTAAAATTAAAAGTTACTTGAAATTGTTTTGGATGATAACTAACAATAATTTAATTACTGGGCTACCGGGTCAGGACGGGTCACTGAGTAAAGCTGGGTCAGGATGGGTCACTGGGTCAAGCTGAGTCACCGGGTCAAGCTGGGTCACCGGGTCAAACTGGGTCAAGCTAGGTCACCGGGTCAAGCTGGGTCACTGGGTCAAGCTGGGTCACCGGGTCAAACTGGGTCAAGCTGGGTCACCGGGTCAAGCTGGGTCACTGGGTCAAACTGGGTCAAGCTGGGTCACCGGGTCAAGCTGGGTCACCGGGTCAAACTGGGTCACCGGGTCAACTGGGTCACCGGGTCACTGGGTCACCGGGTCACTGGGTCAGTAAACTAACTGGGTCACTGGGTCACTCTATGCTTGACCCAGTCCAACTCTGACTGTAATATCTCCATCAATAACCCAAGCAACCTCACAAATACAACCTCAAGAACAAAGAAACACCATAAATACAAGTAACGCAACATGTACTACAAAGACAGGTCCATCCAATAAAGTTACACGCCCTAGCACACTTAAAAAACACAATACTTCTACTTCTCAGAAACAACCCACTCGTATACAACCGAAGCTCAAAAACCTTAACAGCATCACAGGCTCACAAAATACTGCAATATCTCCACCAAAAACCCAAGCAACCTCACAAATACGACCTCAGGAACAAAGAAACACCATAAATAAAATTAAAAAACACAAAACTCCTTCTTCACAGAAACACACCACGTTATCACAACCCACTCGTATTCAACCCAAACGCAAAGCCAAAGAAACACTTACACAATAAACTCCATTTAATAAAATTACAGGAATTATAATAATGATTTT